GTTAGTTTAATTTTAGTTTTTATAGCAGCTTGAGGTTCACAGTGCCCATGTGCCCTTGCCCACTGTCCACTCCCCACACCAAGGGTCTGGTAGTTACTACCCGCGCTGATGTGGCGCTGCCTCCCAAGGCATTGGCAGACTTGAATTTTCAACTCACTATGGAAGTGACACGTCACATCTTTTGTTCTGAATGAGAATATAGCCAGGGGAGCCGTGTCTGTGACAGACAGTACAAGTGCCAGTAGTATCCTGGGCCAGAAGTGTCCTGGGGAGTGCAGACTGGGAAGACATGTGAACTTGCATCCTGTGTCGTCCTGAGTCCTCACTCAGGTGCTCGGCCAGCCCAGGGCCCTCAGCATGAGCGCGTGTTCTTGCCTCTTCAGTGTTTACTTACAGACAAAAGAAAGGTAGTTCCTGTGAGGTCATAATTTACGTCAAGCAGCACATACATTTTTCTTTCCTTTTCTCTGCTGTCTGGCTGGAGGCAGCAGTCGCTGGGGCACAGGATGCTGGGTGAGCGGCCTCTGAACGGACAGCAGGTGTCTGGTTGTGCCGCTGCTTCTGAAGTAGTCGAGGACTTGAAGGCCAGGGCTGACCCACGTGAGTGATGCTGGCACGTCTGTCCGTTCTTGTTAGCATCCTTGCTTTCTAAGCCTTCTGCAAGTCTGAAACTTAGGTCTGAGCCTCGCTCTTGGTCTCAGAGCGAGCAGTTATCAGTGATATTACCACTCTGTGGAGCAGACAGGTTCCCCTTGGGCACATCAGGGTCCGTTTCTCCTGAACTGAGTGTGTCTTTTCGGATCAGCCTCGTGAAAGGGCGTCTTGCAGCCATCTGTTGGCTTCAGCCACATTGAGGTGGCGCTATGAGCCCTGTGAGGACGAGGCTGTGAGTTTGCTGCTCTGAGGGGTGCAGACCTGCAGTCTCCCCGAGCCACACACGCCGCGAGAGGGCCTTGGTGTCCTTGAGCCAAGAGAAGGGTCTGTCCTTTGTATTATGTTCTCAGGTTTCAAGGGACGTGAAGTGAAAAGTATATTCTTATTTTCTTTCTTTCTTTTTTTTTTTTTTTAAGATTTATTTATTTGACAGAGTTACAGACAGTGAGAGACAGAAAGGTCTTCCTTCTGTTGGTTCACTCCCCAAATGGCCGCTATGGCCGGAGCTATGCTGATCTGAAACCAGGAACCAGGTGCTTCCTCCTAGTGTCCCATGTGGGTGCAGGGGTCCAAGCACTTGGGCCATCCTCCATTGCCTTCCCAGGCCACAGCAGAGAGCTAGACTGGAAGAGGAGCAACCAGGACTAGAACCAGTGCCCACATGGAATGCTGGCTGCACAGGTGGAAGATTAACCTAGTGCGCCACAGCGCCAGCCCCAAAAAGTATATTCTTCATTATGTTTCCATTATAAAACAAAGATGTGATTCCAGTGTAGAGCTGAGTGGACTATAACCTGCACTCTGTACCCAGCCGGGTTCCAGGGGTAGAACCATGCTGGCGCTCTTGGCCCTGGGAAACCCCTGCCAGCAGGACCGCTATCACGGCATTTCCAGGCAAGACCTCCTTGCATGGATGGAACTTGTCTTCACTCTTGCTCCTTACTTGTGCACTGATGACTCAATAAACTTAAGTTTGTGACTTGACGTGAAAAAGCCCACGTTTATGGTTCTCAAAATCTCATGGAGGCCGGCACCGTGGCTCACTAGGCTAATCCTCCGCCTTGCGGCGCCGGCACACTGGGTTCTAGTCCCGGTTGGGGCACCGGATTCTGTCCCGGTTGCCCCTCTTCCACGCCAGCTCTCTGCTGTGGCCCGGGAGTGCAGTGGAGGATGGCCCAAGTGCTTGGGCCCTGCACCCCATGGGAGACCAGGAGAAGCACCTGGCTCCTGCCATCGGATCAGCGCAGTGCGCCGGCTGCAGCACGCCAGCCGCGGCAGCCATTGGATTGTGAACCAACGGCAAAAGGAAGACCTTTCTCTCTCTCTCTCTCTCTCACTGTCCACTCTGCCTGTCAAAAAAATTTTTTTAAAAAATTAAAAAATTTAAAAAAAAGGTTCATATGTATAAAAAAAAATCTCACGGAGGCACCAGTGTCATGGGGCAGTGGGTTAATCCATCACCTGCAATACCACGTCCCACACTGAAATACCAGTCTGAGTCCTGGCTGCTCAGTGTGTCCTCACTGTGTTGTGCACAGTGCACTGCGTGATGGGACGTGATCTAGTGTGTGGTCACTGTGGTGTGGACAGTGCATTGTGTGATGGGATGTGATCTAGTGTGTGGTCACTGTGTTGTGCACAGTGCGCTGTGATGGGACATGATCTAGTGTGTGGTCACTGTGGTGTGGACAGTGCGCTGTGTGATGGGACGTGATCTAGTGTGTGGTCACTGTGGTGTGCACAGTGCACTGTGATGGGATGTGATCTAGTGTGTGGTCACTGTGGTGTGGACAGTGCATTGTGTGATGGGATGTGATCTAGTGTGTGGTCACTGTGCTGTGGACAGTGCACTGCGTGATGGGACGTGATCTAGTGTGTGGTCACTGTGGTGTGCACAGTGCATTGTGTGATGGGATGTGATCTAGTGTGTGGTCACTGTGGTGTGGACAGTGCGCTGTGTGATGGGACATGATCTAGTGTGTGGTCACTGTGGTGTGGACAGTGCATTGTGTGATGGGACGTGATCTAGTGTGTGGTCACTGTGGTGTGCACAGTGCATTGTGTGATGGGATGTGATCTAGTGTGTGGTCACTGTGGTGTGGACAGTGCGCTGCGTGATGGGACGTGATCTAGTGTGTGGTCACTGTGTTGTGCACAGTGCATTGTGTGATGGGACATGATCCAGTGTGTGGTCACTGTGGTGTGTCCAGTGCACTGTGTGATGGGACATGATCTAGTGTGTGGTCACTGTGGTGTGGACAATGTACAGTGATGGGACTGTTCATATTCTTTTTTTTTTTTTTTTAAGATTTATTTATTTATTTGAAAGAGTTACAGAGAGGCAGAGGCAGAGAGAGAGGGAGGTCTTCCACCCGCTGGTTCACTCCCCAGATGGCCACAATGGCCAGAGCTGTGCCTATCTGAAGCCAGGAGCCAAGAACTTCTTCCCACATGGGTGCAGAGGCCCAAGGACTTGGGCCATCTTCCACTGCATTCCTAGGCCATAGCAGAGAGCTAGATTGGAAATGGACATCCCCAGGTCTTGAATCGGTGCCCATGTGGGATGCCAGCACTGAAGGCGGTGACCTTCCCCACTACATCACAGCTCTGGTCCCTGTTCATATTCTTTCACGCCAAAATATTATAAATGAAGAGCAGAAATTTACTGTCCCAGTTGAGCTCCAGCCTTGGGAAGCTTGCAGCCTAGAGAGGAGGTTCTGAGGTGATAGGTTTGAGAGGGGTTTTGAGGTGGTAGGTGTGAGAGGGGTGCTGAGGTGATGGCTGTGAGAGGGGTGCTGAGGTGATGGGTGTGAGAGGGGTGCTGAGGTGACAGGGTGTGTGAGCTGTGCTGAGGTCACAGGTGTGTGAGCTATGCTGAGGTGATGGGTGTGAGAGGGATGTGAGGTGATGGGTGTGAGAGGGGTGCTGAGGTGATGGGTATGAGGGGTGCTGAGGTAATGGTTTGAGAGGGGTGCTGAGGTGATGGGTGTGAGGGGTGCTGAGGTGATGGTTGTGAGAGGGGTGCTGAGGTGATGGGTATGAGGGGTGCTGAGGTAATGGTTTGAGAGGGGTGCTGAGGTGATGTCTGTGAGAGGGGTGTGAGGTGATGGGTGTGAGGGGTGCTGAGGTGATGTCTGTGAGAAGGGTGCTGAGGTGATGGGTGTGAGCTGTGCTGAGGTGATGGGTGTGAGGGGTGCTGAGGTGATGTCTGTGAGAGGGGTGTGAGGTGATGGGTGTGAGGGGTGCTGAGGTGATGTCTGTGAGAAGGGTGCTGAGGTGATGGGTGTGAGCTGTGCTGAGGTGATGGGTGTGAGGGGTGCTGAGGTGATGTCTGTGAGAGGGGTGTGAGGTGATGGGTGTGAGCTGTGCTGAGGTGATGGTTGTGAGAGGGGTGCTGAGGTGATGTCTGTGAGAGGGGTGTGAGGTGATGGCTGTGAGAGGAGTGGCCTGCTCATTGGTGCTGGTGCCAACCCTGGTTAGATTTGAGAGGAGACAGGTGCCTCCATACCCGCTACAGGGCACATGTTATCCTTCTGGTGTTTAGTGGTCTTGTTTGCTAGGTTGGGTTTGTGGGAAAGATTGTGTTCACCGGGTAGGCTCACATGTGCTGCAGGAATTACTTACCAGTGAGTCCTGAGAAGCTTTTTGGATTTAATTTAAAAGAAAATTTCTTGATTTGGTTTGTCTGGATAACAAAATAATCATAACACAGAAGAAAAGACCAGAGACTCAGGGAGGTCAGCATGTAAGTAAGAGAGGGTACTTCTTAGAGTGCTTACCACAAATTAATGGAAGATATTTTAAATTTTTATATTTTATTCATTTGAGGGTAGAAAGAGACAGAAGGAGACTTACTATCCACTGGTTCACTCCTCAGATGCCCACAATAGCCAGGGCTGGGCCAGGGCAAAGCCAGGAGCCAGAACTCAATCTGGGTCTCCGACGTGGGTGGCAGGGACCCAACTACATGAGCCATTCCTGGCGCCTCCCAGAGGGTGCGTTAGCAGGGCTTGGAATCGCGTGCAGAGCGGGGACTGCAGCGGGACGCAGTGGGCATCCTAGCCACTGCACTGAACACTTGCCCCTGGGAGACTTTCTGAAGGTGATAAAGCAAAACCCGTAATAATGTACTCAGTTCTGCGTTCTTTGTTGATTGAATATCTAGCATTTTTAGCCCATTTCACCACTGTTAAATGTGTTTCTGGAGTTTATTTTCAAACATAAGGAAAATTGCCAGCAGGTAACAATATAATTAAAAAGCAACAGGTATGAACAGATCCTAGCTGGTACTTAACCTGCTTGTGCTCTGTTAGCAACAACCACTTGGCACAGCAAGGATTGGGAGGTGCCGGAAGCCATGTGGCCCTGGCACAGCCTCAAGGTTGTCACCTGCTAAGTGGACTGTGGGAGTTAATAACAGGTTGTTGAGAGGAGGAGGTGGTCTTCGCACCCTCACCCAGGCAGTCATCTCAGTTCCCTACCTGAATCACCTGCAGACCCCTGCTGGCACCCACTCCACCCTGGGAAAACCACAGGAAGTGCAGAGCCAGCAAGGCGAGCCTGGCTGCTTCCACCCAATCTGGCAGACTCCTCCCACTGAGTCACCTTCTACACCGCACAGTCAGCACAGGTGAGAGGGAGGGGCACAGCTGCCTCAGCCCCTGCTGTGCCTGCCGCACTCCACGTGGTGCTGTGAGCAGAGGGAGACAGGAGTCGGGCAGGCACACAGCCTGGGCCCTTGCCTCTGCTAGGTGGAGGTGATGATGTCACTGTTTACTGAGGTCTTGTTGGTGGGGGTCGCTTGTGTTCATGTGTGTACCTGGCCTGCGGGGCAGCAGGAGATGCTGTTGCCCTTACTGATGCTTGTCATTTCATACTCCACCTGAGATTTTAACTATTTTGATGTAACTTAAGACTCAACAGGAATTAAACAAAAGTAGTTCAGGGGGATCCCTGGTTATTTTTTAACACTGCCTTAGCACCTACCTGTAGCAGTTCCTTGGTGTGTTCTTTCATTTCAGAGTGTTCTTTGCTCTCGGCTGGTGGAGAATGGGTGAGATAGAGGGGACATACAGAGTCCTGCAGGCAGCAGGGACACGCCTGGGCACCCAGACCCCCTTGGGAGTTAGCACCCTTGAGCCTGGACAGAGGCTCCCACCCAGGATGCAGGAGAAGCACCTGCACGTCAGAGTGAAGCTGCTGGACAGCACCGTGGAGGTGTTTGACATTGAGGTGAGCAGCGCGGTGTGTGGTGTGCGGGCGTGGCTGCCCAGGCCGGGCGGAGGGGCTGCGTGTTTGCTGCTGGCCACGGGAGGTCCCCGGAGACAGCTGGTCAGAGCTGCTTCCCGTAGTCTGGAAAGTGCCAGTCTCTGCCTTTCCTTGGGAATGCTGATCTCATTGCCGCTTGGCACCCCTCCTCCTAACAGGGTGGCCAAGAGCACCACGGGGTGCCGCCATGGGGGACGCCGTTGTCCACTGTGGTCAGCTCTGGTCGGCCAAGTAGAGCAGGGCATTGTTGCACTGGGGTCAGCAGTGAGAACTTCCTTATGTTGAAAATTCCCTGGTCGTAAATGACACTGATAATGTTGTCAGAAATAATTGTATGTAGGGGTGGCTGTTAGGCTCAGCAGTGAAGACGCTGATTGGGATGCAGTCCCGGCACCGCTTCAAGTGCAGCGTCCTGCTGAGGCTCGCCACTGGAGGCTGCAGTGGTGGCTCAAGTTCTTGGGTCTCTGCCATCCACATGAGAGGTCCAGATGGAGCTCCTGGCTCCTGGCTTCAGCCTGGCCCAGCCCTGGATGTTGTGGGTATTTAGGGAGTAAACAGGAATAAACTGGAAGATAGAAGCTCGCTCACTCGCTCTCTCTGCCTTTCAAATAAAATGAAAACAATTTTTTAAAAAAGATTTATTTATTTCAAGTCAGAGTCCAGACAGAGAGAGGGAGACAGAGAGGTCTTCCATCTCCTGGTTCACTCTCCAAATGGCTGCAGTGGCCGGGACTAAGGCAGGCTGAAGCCAGGAGCTTTATCTGAATCTCACGTGGGTAACGGGCCCAGACATGTGGGCCATCTTCCACTGCTTTGGGCCGGCATTGTAGCTCAACAGGTAATGTGATGCCAGCATTCCGTATGGGTGCCGGTTCAAGTTCAGCTGCCCCACTTCTGATCCAGCTCCCTGCCAGTGGCCTGGGAAAGCAACGGGAGATGACCCGAGTGCTTGGGCCTCGGCCCCCATGCGGGAGACCCAGATGAAGCGCCTGGCCTCGGCCTGCTTCAGCCCTGGCCGTTGTGGTCGTTTGGGGAGTGACCAGCAGATGGAAAATCTCTCTCTCTCTCTCTCTCTCTCTGTTTCCCTCTCTCTGTAACTCAGACTTTGAAATAAATAAATTGATCTTTAATAAATAAGTAAGTAAATAAAAGGGATGTGAACATTTAAAAATTGCGTATCAGGGCTGGCATTGTGGTATAGCAAGTAAAGCCAGCGCCTGCGACACTGGCATCCCATATGGGCGCCTGTTCGAGTTCTGGCTGCTCTACTTCCACTCCAGCTTCCTGCGAATGCAGTTGGGAAAGCAGAAAATGATGGCCCAAGTGCTTGGGCCTCTGCACCCACATGGGAGGCCCAAAGTAATCTCCTGGCTTTGACCTGACTCAGACTCTGACCTCTATCTCTGTCTTCCCTCTCTCTCTCTGCCTTTCAAATAAATAAATCTTTTTAAAAAATGGCATATCATTAAATATATATATATATATATATATATCAGGCTTCAGTAGCACTTTTGCCTTTAGACTGATACGGTATACTGAAGCAGTATTCTTTTTAAAATTACCTATTTTCACATGTATTGCATAAATACATTACCTATTCTAGTTTCTTCAAATTGGTGTAAAATTACATCTTTGGGGCAGGCATTTGGCCTGGTAGGGTGCAGGGCGCCTGGGATAGATTTCCGGCTTCAGCTCCGCTCGTGCAGGCCTTGGAGGCGGCAGTGGTGGCTCAGATAATGGGTCCCTGCCTGCACCTGGGAGCCCTGGGCTGAGCTCCCAGATGCCAGCTCTGGCACTCCCTAGCTATTGCCAGCATCTGGGGAGTATGCAGTGGGTGGGAGATCCCTCTCTCTCTCTCTGCCTGTCCAATAAATAAATACAGTTTAAATGAAATAATATGTTTAAAAGCTTTTCTTGCTCTTAATGTTAAAAAAAAAAAATAGGCCAAGAGAATTAAAGCCAGCTGCAGCACAAGGTTTCTTTTGCTTGGGGGCTGCATCTAGAAGCTGGGGTACAGTGCAAGGCAGTGAGGACACAAGGGAACCTCCCTGAGGCTCTGGGGCTGCCTGGCTGTAGAATGCCTGGAGGGGAGAAACCCCTCCCACAGGATCTGGGGTGGGGTCAGATGCAGCGAGCTGGGGGGTTGAGTCTTATCTGAGAGGAGATCAAGGATCACTTCAGCAGAGCTGCCGACTGAGACCCATGGAACCGGACCTGTGGAACCGGACCATCCTGTTGGGAGGAGGCAGCCCTGGAACCCTGCAGAGCTGGCTGCACCCACACCCCCACCCCGAGCCTCTCCCACAGGAGACCCCTTAGAGGCCTGGGGACTGGTGCCCTCTGACACACACATTTTGCTATGGTCTGGGCTCAGAATTTCAGAAGAAAGGTTTGTTTTTTTTTTTTTTTAAGATCTATTTATTTGTGTGTGTTTGTTTTTAAGAATTATTTATTTTACTTGAAGGAGTTACACAGAGAGAGAAAGAGAGGCAGAGAGAGAGTCTTCCATCCGCTGGTTCACTCCCCAATTGGCTGCAATGGCTTGAGCTGTGCCAATCCAAAGCCAGGAGCCCGGAGCTTCTTCCAGGTCTACCATGCGGGTGCAGGGGCCCAAGGGGTTGGGCCATCTTCTACTGCTTGCCCTGGCCATAGCAGAATGCTGGATAGGAAGTGGAGAAGCCGGGACTCAAACCGGCACTCATATGGGATGACGGCACTACAGGCGGCAGCTTTACCCACTATGCCACAGCGCCAGCCCCCTATATTTATTTGAAAGACAGAGTTACACAGAGAGAGAGAGGTCCTCCATCCTCAATTGGCCGTATCAGCCGGAGCTGGGCTGATCCCCCCCCGCCACGCTCCTGTTTAAGATTTATTTGTTTATTTGAAAGGCAAAGTTACAGAGAGACAGAAGCAGAAAGATAGAGAGGTTTCCCATCCACTGGTTCACTCCCCAAATGGCCACAACAGCTGGAGCTTGGCTGATCCAAAGCCAGGAACCAGGAGCTTCTTCTGGGTCTCCCATGTGGGTGCAGGGGCCCAAGTACTTGGGCCATCTTCCGCTGCTTTTCCCAGGCCGTAGTAGAGAGCTGGATTGGAAGTGGAACAGCCAGGACTCAAACCAGCACCCACACTGGGTTCTAGTCCCAGTTGCTCCTCTTCCAGTCCAGCTCTCTGCTGTGGCCCAGGAGGGCAGTGGAGGATGGCCCAGGTGTTTGTGCCCCTGAACCCATGTGGGAGACCAGGAAGAAGCACCTGGCTCCTGGCTTCGGATCGGCGCAGCACTTGCTGTAGTGGCCATTTGGGGAGGGAAGACCTCTCTGTCTCTCTCTTACTGTCTGTAACTCTACCTGTCAAATAAATTAAAAAAAAATCTTTGAAAAAAAAATAAAAAAACCAGCACCCATATGGGATGCTGGCACTGTAGGCAGCAACTTTACCCACTATGCCACAGCACTGGCCCCAGAAGAAAGTTTTAAAATGGTATTATTTAGGGTCTGCTTTTAGAGGATCTTTTTTTGTTCTGCTTAATGAGCTTTAGCAACTAAAACTAGGACCTAACAGAGAGGAAAAGCACAGTTTGTGAATGAGTCTTAAGATGCAGCCCTGAGAAACTCTTCCTGAGCGTGCACCCCTCTGCCCAGGCCGCCATGGGTGCCATCCTGAAGGCTGAGGGTGTCCTCACTGGCATCAGAACCTAGCAGGTTGGGCTCAGGTGGTCGTACTCTGCTGCCCAGTGCCTTGTCCCCCTCAGCTGTGCTGGTCAGCTTTGCTGACTAGCAAGCCTCCCTAAAACTTAGTAACTTCAAACAACCAACACTGGGGCCAGCATTGTAGTACAGTGGTTTAGGCCCCCACCTGTGACGCCAGCATTCATTATGGGCTCCAGTTCAAGTCCCAGCTGCTCCACTTCGGATCCAGTTCCCTGCTAGTGTGCCTGGGAGTTCAGTTGGGGACACGCAGGTCTTTGAGCCCTGTGCCCACATGGGAGACTGGGACCAAGGACTGAACTAACTGATGGAAGATCTCTTTCTCTCTGTTCCTCTGCCTTTCAAATAAATAAATCTTCAAACACATACACACACAAATATTTGATAATTCCCACACAACCATGTGCTGTTTTGGTGCTGCTTCTGGACTGGACTGAGCTGGCCTTACCGGGGCCAAGGCTGCAGGGCTGTGGCGTCCAGCACTGGCAGGCCCCTGGCCAAGTGGGTGTGTCTCAGGGAAGCCGCCCTCTCCTGGAAGGCAGGTTCTGGGGGAAGGGGCATCACTGAATCCACTTGTGTTTGGAGCTGTGCCTTGCTCATGAATAACATCAGAAGTTAGATTTGGCTGACATGCTTGCTGTAGCAGTGTTTTCCAACCTCGCGGATTCGGTGTTGCTTGGGCAGGTTTGTTGTTTTGTTTTTGATTTGTTGTCACTTGAGTCTTGAGAAGTAGTAGTGTCTGTCCAAGGGGTGGGCTTGGGAATAGCAGCTTCCGGGAGTACATGGTGGCAGAGCTGACCACGGGACCCCACCCTCCAAGATGATGCTGAAAGCTTCTAGTTGAAGGACCTTTTTAACTTAGGGGATAATTTGACGTTTAGCTGTTTTGTTTGTTTGTTTGTTTGTTTCTGTGAAAAGCAGAGTTATGGAGAGAGAGAGGGGGGGAGAGAGAGATCCATTTCCATCTGCTGGGTTACTCCCCAGGTGGCCACAACGTCTGGTGCTGGGCTGATCCGAAGCCAGGAGCGAGGAGCTTCTTCGGGACCTCCCTTGGCGCTTGGGCCGTCTTGCACTGCTTTCCGGACACATTAGCCGTTAGCAAGGAGCTGGATCAGAAGCAGAGCAGTGGGGCGGGGGGGGGGGGTGGTGCTTATTTGGGATGCTGCCACAGGTGGCAGCTTCACCCACTACGCCACAGAGCCAGTTCCAACATTTAGCTATTTTAAAAATACTTTTGGGACGAGCATGGTGGCA